GGAAGCTTAATAAATATTTGTTATTGGATGAAAGAAAGAAGGGGTAGGCCAGTTCTGGTAAGTTGAAAATGTGTTTCTAATAGAATTAGAGAAACGTTGACTTCATGCTCCCACGCCATATCTGTTCTTGACTTAGTACCTCACACGTGTTGTTTTCTCTATTGGAAATGCCATATTGTGCTTTGTCTGTAGAGTGAACTGCTTTAAAACTCTGCTTAGATGTCACTTATTCTGAGACATCTTTATTTTTCTCATCAGTCCTCAGTTGTTAACCATTTCCTTCTCTGTACTATTTCTGCACCAACCCCAGTGGTGTAGTGGTTCAGATTCTGCGTTCTCACTGCTGCGGCCTGGAGTTTGTTTCCTGGTCAAGGAACTACACCACCCATCATATTGTGGTAGCTGCGTGTTGCTGTGATGCTGAAAGCTATGCCACTGGTTATTTCAAATACCAGGAGGGTCACCCATGGTGGACAGGTTTCAGCTGAGCTTCCAAACTAAGACAGACTAGGAAGAAGGATGTGGCCACCCACTTCTGAAAAAATTGGCCATGAAAACCCTATGAATAACAATGGACCATTGTCTAATAGAGAGCCTGAAGGTGAGAGGATGGTGCAAAAAGATCAGGCAGGGTTCCACTCTGCTGTACATAGGACAGACTAGGAGTCAGAATCCACGGTATGGCATCAACAACAAGCTATTTCTGCACTTTGTACATATCTCACTGTATTGTAAATATGTTTACAATGTACATATTGCTCCTACATGGATGTCATCCTCCTGGAGGGTGGGCACCAGTGGCTTAGACATCTCAGTAACTCCAGCCCCTTGCCTGGGGCCTGCCTGACACATACCACAATAAATGTGTAATGTTGATGAACTTATGGGTCATTGCTGGCACTTGTTTCTAATCACTAACTTCCATCTATATATATATAATGTGAGATGGGGATAGAGGATAAGAACATTGACCAAGATGTCTGGCTCCGTCGCTTGTGAACTATGTAAACTTAGGTTATATAATCTCAGTTTCCCTATCTGTGAAATGGGGACAATAATAGTATCTGTATCTACAGTTTTGGGGGTAAACGAATTAATACATGTGAAATTTGTAGGACAAAGCCTGGCCCATCATGAGTGCTCAATAAATGTTAGCTACTATTGTGTAGTATCAGAAACAGCATTTTAGGAGCTCTGGCTTTAGATCAGATACCCTGAGCTGGAGTCCTGATTCCATCTCTTGCTGTCTATGTACCCTTGGCTAGGTTGACAAATTGAGTCTACACTATTTCCTCATTTTCAAAGTGGGAATAATAATGGCATCAATCTCATGGAGTTAAGGGAAGGAGACAATGAGATGAATCATGGAAATCCCCAGTATGTCCTCAGGGGGTGTTGTTACTGTTATTATTTTTATGGTGCTTTAAACTTAGAAAGCAGTTAAAAGTAAATGAATTTTTTGTGCCCCTTACAATAATTCTGTGAGCTAGGCCAGATAGCTTTCTGACTATTTTATGGGCAACAAGACTGAGGCACTGAGTGACTTGCCTAAAGTCCTTAGATCCTTAGCAGCAGAGTCAGGAGCAAGATCCATATTTCCTATCTCCTAGTTCCTTGTTCTTTTCAGTGAGGAGGCAAGTCACTCCCATGGAAAGCAGCTCCTGAAACTTGACTTAGGAGTACAGGGGGAAGAGGCGGGTTAAGGCATGACAGATGCGCAATCAACCAGGCTGCAGTGTGAATGTTACCCAGTGGTGACCTGGGGGATTGCTGTGTCTTTGGGGGTGTTGTTTAAAACACACCACCCTTGTCTACACATGTCCATAATGGAAGAGCACAAATTAGGTTGGGTTCCCTTGTTCAGGCTGTGCATTCTAGTGTCACCCCAAAGTCTTGTTGCTAGGCCTAGGGGGCATTCTTGAGCCCTGCAGGCAGTCAGTGGAAGGATTAAGAAAGAACAGGGGGTTTGGGGGGGTGGGAAGATAAGAGGGAAGCTTTAGGCAGTCGCTTTGCAGGTTTGAAGGAAGGGAGATCATGGTCTCCCAGCTTGTCAGCGATTGAGTGTTTGAGGGTTTAACTTTATTATAATGGGTTCTGGAGTGTTCAAAAGAAACACATCGGAGCCAGCTGACTTATCTCATTGGGTCACTGAGCTAAAAGAATTTCAGCTTCATCTTTTTCCACCTGACAATTGTTCTGCCTTACACATGCTGGTTGCCTAATATATGCTGATATGGTTGAGTTAATTACAAGACCAGCAAGAGGTTTAAAGATGCATTTTTTTTTTTTCCAATAGAAAAGTAAAGGCAGGAGCCAGACTTTACAGAGTTAAAAAGCAGATGGGTTCCTACTGCTCGTTCACCTCTGTCTATCCTGCTACTTCTTGCTGGCTGTGTCTCTCGTTTTTTCTTCCATCTTCCTCCTCCAGACAAAAAAGCATGGATGTCCACTAAAGTTCAACTTTCGAATCGCTTGTTTTTAAGGAACTAACTGTTGCATTAAGATGATTTTAATAAAAGCTCAGGAAGCTATGGCTCCCATTTTCCCTAAGTCAACTGACATCCTCCAGTGTACCCAGATGGCTTGTACCAAGCAGCAGCCCTCACGGTATGAAGTGGTACAGGGCTCTTAGAATGCAACAAACTGTTGAAAAGGTGGCAAGTTAGCTTCCAAGTAGCTCTTAGTATCTGCTGAAAAAAGGACTGACCTCTAGGTGCCACCAGTCAAGGAAATCACCAGCACTGGGTGGAAGGAGATCACAACCATAAAATAGCCAGTTGAGCTCCTGGCACAGAGCGGGTCACTGGTGCAACGTGGTGGTGATTATTGCTGCCTGAGGCCTGATCTCCAGGGCCTTCCCCTCCTGTTCCTCTAGCAGTCTTGGGTGGTTGCATCCTTTGTTCGGGGTGAAGGAAGGGATGGCTGCCTTCTGCTCTCGGCTAGGAGGTTTTGGCAAATTCCTCCCAGTCTCTGCATCTCAGCCTGCACATCTATGTGCTGATGGTCTCAGACTAGTGTAGGGGCTTTTATGTGGAGTCTACAGACGGACCGCAGGGCCTGTGAACCCCTTAAAACTATGACCAAAATTGCTCCTGTGTGTGTTCTGGGGAGCACTTTGACACCAGTTTGTGAAGAACCATTGTTCGTCAAGACTCTGCTGCCTCCGAAGGTTTAAATGTTCTGTGGTATCAGTTACTCAGTGTCCTGAAGTTTGATAAGCCTGCGCTTGGTGGCTCATAAAACGGGGGTAGGTGGTGCACGGGTACATGTCGGTTATATTAATGGTTATGTGATTATTTTAATGTTAGAAAAAAAATAACATTAAAACTGACATTTCATGAATATTCTTCGGGGGAGGCTAAGTCTTGCTTTTAAAAAAGGTGACTTAAATAAATGTTAAATGAGTAATAGTACAGAGGTGGGTTGATGCTTAAATTTGAGAACAGTGATCCCTCCCAAACCCCAGCTGGTACAGACGAGGAGCAGAGTCTCAGAGAAGCAGAGAAAAGGCCATAAGGGAGTTGAGAGTAAACTTGGGACAGTAACCCACTCGTCTTTCTATCTATGCTCATATCACAATTCTCTATGAGTTGGGGCTATTTCTGACACTGTCTCAGGTCTACTCCGAGATCATTGCCCCAGTCGGGCCAGGAATCCTGCCCCAAGAGTTTCTGCCTGGGCCACGTTATGGGTGATGCCTGAAGCTGGCTTTCACTAAAGGGACGATGAGAAACACCAGGAGAAAGTCATGTCTTCGTATGCTCCCGCAATTTCGAGATGTACCTATTCATTCCGAAATTGCATCTTACAAAATTGTGCTCCCTTAAGTAGTTATTTCCTTGTCAGAAAGCTGTTATTAAATAGATAGTAGCTTAGAACCAAAATATGGTTCTTTCATGACTTTTTTCTTTTCCAAAACAAATTACACTTGAAAGTTGGGACTTCTAATAAATACACAAACTGAAAGAAAATTTCTCTTTAAAATAAAAACTCTCAAGCCATTTCCCATTCACTAAGTGGAAGTTAGGGGAAATGAGTCATCATGACAGGAGCAGACACTGAGCCCAAACCCCAATTTCTGGGTACCTCCCTCCTTCTCAAATTTATGTCCTTTGAATTCATTTAGTCTCCTTCCTAGAGATGTACCACATAGAAACTTCTGGAAGTTATAAACCTGAATCCTCAACTAGGGGGAATGATGAACCAGCCTCCCCAGGTTCAATCAGACTTTACTCCAACGTCAAAGCTTCTTGATTCCCCCATATGCCATTTTTGGAGGAATTTTGGTCTGTTTTTCCAGATGGTGAGCTTGGGGGTGCATTAGAAGCTCCTGATGAGACTTTGAAATCAGCAGTTTTATTGGCCATTTTTGTTCTAGCTACAGTGGAGATTGATGGACTGTAACTTTTGGTTACCAGACCCAGGAGGAGGGGAGGGGGCTGCTTAGGAGACACACCCAAAAAAGAACAGACCAGCCTTTCTCAGGGAGCCGAGGAGGTGCCACTGCCTCCAACTTACTGCTTCGTTTAGAAGGCCAGAGAATAAACAACCAGGACTCGCCCTTTAGAAGTCAATGGAATAAATAAGCTGGAAAGGTTGAAGAGAAAAAGCCAATGAACATGTAAGGAGAGGATTTTACGGAGCCATTTAAAATTACAAAAAGCAGGAGTAACAAAGCAGGCGATGGAATCTGGCCCCCCACGGCCTTGCCAGCTCACTCTGAGAGGCACTGTGTGGAAACTGTTCCCTTTATATCCCCTGAAGCGTTCACGGCGTTTCCTAGCCAAATTCTCAGGCTGTTTCTATGGAGCTTACAAAAAAGGAGTACAGCGGGGTCGATGTGTGCCTTCCCTTCTCATTCTGCATCCTCTCCGCAGCCTCGTGAAATAAATCTCTGGCTCAAGTGAAATCATTAAAAAGAAAATGGAAAATGGGAAAAAAGAAGTGTTGTAGGGGTGGGAGATGCTGAACAGTTCTGATTTTTCACAAAACAAGGAGAATTTCTCTAAGAGTAAACGGTGTTTATTTTTTGATTTTTTTCCAATCAAATGGAATCGCTTAATTAAAAAAAAAAACTTACTTATCTCTTTTCTCTTTAAATACTACAGACAACCTCATTTTATCTCAGCAGACACCTAGAAACAAAACACGGGACCCACCAGAGAAAACTGGGCAATAAAAGCATCATCAGAAATTCAAGTCAACTATGGAAGAATTACTGTTAGCTGGCAGCTCTCAATTCTAAACAGAAGTGTCCCAGAACCTATTGGGTTTGACAAAAGTCTCTTAGAATGGGGGATCTGGGGAAGTTGGACTCCTTTTAATTCTATTCCAATTGTTTTCTGCATAGGGAAATTAAAGTCAATGCATCAAATGAAGACCCAAAGAAACATTTAAAAACGTGTTTGACTAGTATTCAGTATGTGAGATTGTTAAGTAATAACTTGTCCTCCTAGTTAACCTTGTCCTGGAATATATATAGGTTATTTGTAGCCGCCACTGCTATAATATTTTCTGAAGGATGCCAAGCTGTATGTAAGATCTTTTTGCTAAAGTCCAGACTGTCGACACTGATCTCGTCTTTTCTCCGCTTGCCCCCCACGCATACTTTTCGCGGTTTTAGGATGGCCCGGGGTTTGCTGTTTTCCCTCGAGGCCTCAAGGGTAACATCTCGCTTGGTGTTTCGGTCAAACATCCTGAAGAAGTTGTTGTAGGAGCCTGTCATGATGACACTGCAAAGCAGAGAGGAGACAGGAAGTGACTGAGTGCTGTAGAGAAAGGCAGTGCCACATCCCTGTTGTGTCTTTCTAGAGCAAATGACACCACGCTGTGGCCAGCTTATGGCACCAAACATTTTATTAGAAACAAACCAAAAACCAAACAGGCTCTATAGGGTGACTGTTGAGTTCCTTGGGAATCACTAAGAGAAACAAGCTCTTTGGCTGGGTTTAGAAACGAAGGACCATAATAACCCTCCTTGTTACTTACTTCTGTTTGATAGGTTCCTTTCGGTCCTTTGGTTTAGTAAATGAGTCCAGTGGTTTTAATGATCCCAGCTCTACCCACCTCACATCAGGATTGTGAGGCTGGAGTGAGGTTATGAAAGGAGAAACACTTTGAAAACAATAAGTCACTGTGCACATTGAAAGCACGGCTGCCCTAGTGGGGTTTCCGGGCTGCCTGACTGCCAAGGCTTTCTTGCATCAGCGCGGTGGCAGAAATGCTGATAGTACCGCGCACTGACCCATGCGTGTCCTGCCTCTTCTAAGAACTAGCTCTAAATTCAGACTTTTCAGAGAACCTACCTGGAAAATGGATGTCATCACGGACTCACTCAGGAAGAGAGTAAACAAATTCGAATTTTAAAAGGATTTGGGATGGGGAAATAAGATTTTGTAGTGGACTGACAGATGGTTTCTACATTTTTACAAGAGTTATCCGCTCTCAGGCGTATCTACAATTGATCAAGAAGAGCAGTGAATGCCAAAAGCCTTCCAGAAGCAAGGGACTGAATGTTTAACGGTGACAGGTTGGACGTGGTGACAGGTTGAGGGGGAGATAGTGCTCCTCATGTGGCTGTCCCCTGGAGAGGCTGGAGAGGCTTTGATTCTGGATGAAGCTCTGCTTGGCTGGTTAGGACGGGAGAGTGCAGCGTCTCATCTGTTTTCATGTGACTTGGGTATGTAGAGAGGTGCAGGAAACTGACAAGATGGGGCTACAGCAAGGGATAAGAGTTTGGGTACTTCGTAGCTGTGCCAGGCAAATTAATCAAGGGTTAGATTTTGTTATTCTGGCCCGGGAACTGATGCTGTGAAACGTGTTTGTCTCTGTAGCAGAGTGAGCTGTTATTACCTTGTCAGGCGGGTGCTGAGTGCTTGCCCCCGCGATCTCATTTCACTTCCCTTATCCCCATATAAGGGATTTATACTGGAGGAGCAGTGAGTAACTTGCACAGTGTCACACTGCTAGGAAGCGGCAAAGCTGGGCCTCCAACCCACATCTGCCCGACTGCAGGGCAGAAGCATTCAGCCACTTGGCCTCGCTGCCTCTCACGCACTGACATTCGCTTCCCCCACCGTCACCCAACTTGTTTTTAAACCAGCAAGTGAGAAGTCTTTTTTAGGAAAAAAAATCTCAACCTTATCTGAACCAAAAATAAAATTTTCCAGTTGTGATGTTGTGGAAAGAATGTTGATCTCAGGATTCAAACTCAAAACTTCTTACTCTTGTCTTTACTACTTACTAGTTCACAAGCTTGGGCAGGTTACTTTATCTTGCTGAGCCTCAGTTTCTTCAACTGTAAAACGGGGATGATGAAATCAACCTTGTCAAACTATGGTCAGGATTAAATAACATGACATGTGTGAAGGTGCCTGGTACATAGTAGGTGCTTAATAAATGTTGTTTTTGAATCTAGGCTAAGATAGAGGGGAAATTGGAGCAATAACAACAACAAATACATAAATAATAATATCTATTAAGTAATAAACAATAAATTATATATGTATTTAAATAAAAATAGATAATAAAATAATAGGGCTGGGGTTAGCTTCTCTCCCCCTTGGGAGCTTTTGTTCATACATCACAGGTGCCTTGCTCTTTCTTCTCTCTGCCCTATACCAACTGGATGGCGTGACTTAGGTCCTCGGCCACATCATGATTCCTTCCAGGGCCCTAAGCGGAGGGGTCATTTTGGTTCATTGGCAGAAAAATCCAAACAAGGGTCAGAGAGAGAGAGCTCGTGTTCACTGAAAGCTGGAATCTGAGCGCTTTGCCAAGACAGGATTTCCATGCCCCCAAGCACTGTTGCTGGTGCCGCCTTCATCACGGAACAGCCTCCCTGATAGCCTATACATAGTTCTCCTGGAAGTCAGAGAATCATCTGTATGTGTCAAACTAAAAATGAACTATTGGGAGGTAATATGAAGTATTGCTGAAATCAAAGGGCTTCAAACAGTAATAAATCACTTTGAGAGAATATGATAAATGAGACCAAGGAGAATTCAGCTAATGAACCACCAGAGCCTTTGGTCAGGTCTATACCAGCAGCTTCAAGGGATAATTTTCAATTTAGAAAGTGCACTTCGCAGTAATCTGAACTATTCACGCTGGAATTTGTCAGGGATTATTAGTGATTTTCGTTTTAGGCATGGTAACCTAGCTTCGGGGGTGTCTTGTACGTAGAAGATAGGATTTTCTCGTTGATGTTGAATGGTCACCTACACCAGGCCCGAAAGAAGTTTCAAGGGTCTCACTACATCTTCCCCTTCTTTCCAGGCCTGACCTCAAGGGGAAGCCAGTGACCCACACACGGCCTCCCTGCTAGGCCTCGGGGCCGGATTTTGACCTCCCTGTGGCTGTACCCTCTCAGGATAAACGCCCAGGGCCTCTGCAAGGAGACAGCCTGCCTTCAGAAGGATCCCCAGCCACACAGCCTTTCTTACCTGTCTGACCCATTCCACACACACTCAAATTTATCAAAAATGCAGTCATTTTCGTAGAGGGAGCACAACTTGCTGCGGAGGTAGTCATGAACCTAGGGGGGAAACACATCAAGAGGGTCAGTTATTATCTTTAAAAATGATTATTTCTGTGACTACTTCCTCTTTTGGTGTGAGCTGTTAATTCTCTCAGTGTAAAATGTGCCTGGAATCAGATGGCTTGGGCTTTTCCAGCTGAGGGACATTAGCGTGGGTTGGTGAGCTGCTTACGTGGCTAGTGTGGATTAATCAAGCTTCCTCAGGTAGACGGTGGCTAGAGCGGTGCCTGCTAAGTGGTGGATTCCCATTTTCTAAGCTGATTTGCTAACAGGAATTAGAGGACACCATGCATTCAGTCTTTTATTCAACAAATATTTATTGAATGACTGCTATGTGCTTGGGATTGAGCAGCGAATAGAATACCCTTGCTGAGCTTTCATCCAAAGGTGGGGGCAGATGACCAGTTCACATGGGCCCTTTATGCTGAATAAGGTGAAGAGACACCCCAGAGAGGGTCGCTGAGCCTGCTGTGCTGTGATAATGTAGGAGTGTGAGGACGAAGGCAGAGAGACCAGTTATCATGGGATGACGGACGGTGGGTGGGACCAGGGCAATAGCGGTGCTGGGAAGTGATCAGATTCTCAACATGTTTGGAGGGAGAACTGATGTGATTTGTGGATGGATTATGTGTGAAGTGTGAAGAGAAGAACAGGAGTCAAAGATGGCTTCTGGATCTTTCTCTTGAGCAAGTAGAAGGACGGAGTTGCCATGTTCATTTTTGGGTACCATAATTTGGGTCCGATAACAAAGTGGAGCTGTCATAGACTCTGATGTGAAAGGCGCTGTCCTGGAGTATGTGGCAATTCTCTCCTGACTGTTTCTAGTGTTTGGTGAAATAAGAAGCCACTTTACCAGCTGAAAGTGAGGAAGGGGAGGGAAATGGTTGGGAAACTGTGATGGATTGCTGGAAGGCACTGAGGGCCACTTGAAATTGTTGGATGTGAATTTTAAATGAGACTGGTCAGCATGGTTGAGTAATTTTCTACAGCTACATTTAGCAATTGAGGTGTAGATGCCAAAAAAGCAGATGAACAAGGCTTAGAAGGTAGTGACCTGGGTTCAGTTTTTCTCTGAGGGAGATCCCTTCTGAACCTGCTAGTAGGGAAGGGTAATAATAAAAGGCATACACAATATGCTAGCTTGTTGTTATTGGCCAGGACCCTTAGCCATAAAATCTCATTTCATCTCTAAAACATGTTATGATATAGGTACTGTGATTCTCTTCACTTCACTTGGAGCATGAAGTACAGGGGTATGGCATCATTTGTCCAAGATCACACAGGAAAGAAAATGACAGGATGGGAACTGAACCCCAGTATTTGGGTTCTGGAGGATGCACTCTTGACTACTCTAGCACTCTGCCTCCCACTTGCTCTGCCACGTTAGTCTCATCTTACGTTGGGTCTCAGTCCTACATAGGAGCTATGATAATGAATCGAAGCAAGGTCAAGAGGGAGACAAAATTGGGTGAAGGCAGAGGGATGTTATAAAAAACATTGTTTTAACTTTGTTAAATTAAGAGTGATGCTTCAATCTCCCTTTTCCTGCAGCCTAGACTCCTTCTCCTCCCTTGACCCCAGAGTCCTGCTGGATGCTGAGTTCAGAGGCTCAGCTGTGTGCTTAGTACTGGGCAAAGGAATAAGGTCAGATTCATCCCATGTTCCATTAGATGTTTTGGGTATTTAAAAGCTCTCTGAGTTATTTGGACAGTGTAAGTATTTTTCTAACTCTGCAAATTAATTTCCTCCACCTTTACTCTCTTGTTCCCAAACAGTTCTGGGCCTCGTCAGGGTACGTGCTTCGGCGCTATCATGATAAAGGAATCTACCTGCGGCAGGGCTGTCGGTGTTGCTAGATGGGGAACGGGGATGCAAGGGTGAGGCTTGTGTCCTGTGCTTGGTATCTCTGCTATAAATTAATTCATTGTCTTTCCCTTCCTCTCTTGCCACCTTTTGGCATATGAGAAGGGGCTCAAGTCTGATCTAGAAGGCCATTTCTGTTTGTTAAGAATCTGAGCAAAGGAACAAAGAAGAGTCCAAGGGAAAAAAGAGGATTGATTCTTGGTCTTGACCAGGGGTTGGCAGAGTTTTTCTATAAAGGGCCAGAAAGTAAATATTTGTGCTTTGTAGGCCATATGCTCTCCATTACAACCACTCAATTCTGCCATTATAATGCAAAAGTAGCCCTCAGTAATAAATAAACAAATGTGGGGGGGTTGTGTTCCAATAAAACTTTATTTACAAAAATGGGTGGCAGAGAGGATTGGCCTCTGGGTCATACTTTTGCCTACCCCTGGTTTTTTTCCTACCTTTTGTTGACTTTACTATTGACTTGCTTCTGGGCTCTGTGTAATAAAGGGGCAAGAGGGCTGGGGCTTCTGAAGGGCAAGGATGCCAAGTTGGGAATTAATCCAGTGGGCAATGGAAGCCGAATTTGTTATTCCAGTACTCCAGCTCTCCTACTTTTTGGAGGAAAAGATGAGCGTAATAGATCCTTATTTTCAGCCTTATCTCGCCCTCCCTAATCCTTCCCCTTATCTGGTATGGAGCATTTTTAACACAAGGCACAGATGTGAGTGTTCTGAGGTAGGGGGAACAAGTTTTCAGAACACTTGGTTAAGCAGGTTTCTATGATGCCTGTAGGACTTCTCAGAGTCCTACAATGGTCAAGGAATTGTAAAATTGTAAGCAAGGGATAGAATATTATTTTATTTCACTATAAATAAAAAGGTTTTATTTTCACTCTATTTTTTTTTTGGTAGGGGAAGTACCAAATATTATCTTGAAAATAATTAGGATTTTGACAGGTAGAGAGGGGGCAGAGCAGTAAGGTTTATAAATAGGGCAGTAGTGTGTCTTTGAAGGCCTGGCTCAGTCTGTCTTCTTCTTTATGAACCTTTCCTGACCCCTGACCATTCACCTTTGGCATTCTGTCTTAGAAAAACGCCACAGGTGAGTAATAAATATCAAAAAGTGTGTGCTCTGGCAGCATGGGCCGATTAGCAGGAAACACATTGCCAAGAACTCTACAAATAATTCTTGAAAGACGAAAGTCAGGAGAGATTCAAGCGAAAATCTAGTCTGAACCATTATTTTCTCCTCCCCAGCATCTAAGCTCTGGGACGGTCCTGCCTGCCTCCAATTGAGGGCATCTGAAGGAAAAGAACATCTGCTATGATGGTATGTTGTCTTTATGTTCTGTTGTTAAAAAAAAAACCTCAGGCAAATGAGGTAGATCTTTTTCCATCAGAGGAGGGAATAAGGTAAGATACATAGGTGAGAAACATCGAAAGAGCCACGCAAGAGAGAATTTAAAGCTCCTCCTATGTGATGCTTCTCTCTTCATGCTCCAAATATTATTTCTTTTCTGTGTTCCTATTATCTTGTGTATGGCCTTCTTGAGCCTGTTGAACCAAATGGAGCCTCCCAATGCAGTGGTCTCAAATTATGAACTTGCAGAAGCCTGCTGTTGTATGGTTAATGGACTGCTCATGAGGCTGAGCAAGAGTAAATGCTATTATATTTAGGGGGTTGACAAACTTTCCTGTAAAGAGTCAGATAGTAGGAATTCTAGGCTTTGCGGGCCATATGGTCTCTGTCACATGGCCATGAAAGCAGCCAGGGATAATATGTAAACGATCAGGTGTGGCTGTGTTTCAATAAAACTCCTTTTACAAAAACAGATGGCTGGAGTTTGCCAACCCCTGTTCTATAGGAAAACTTGAAAATAGCTCGTCGTACTTGTCTACAGCTTGTTATTCATGGAAACATGCTTGAGATGGGTTGATGCATGTATGAAAATACACAGTAGGAGTGTTACCTGTTTCCCTGCCCAGGAAGGCAGTAATAATGGATTATGGAATTCTTTCCCATTGGACCAGCCTCAATCTTTTTCAACAGTGTTCTAGACACTCAGAGTTTATTTACCATTTTTGCTATAGTATATAAATTTAGCTAAATTGCTTTGAAATATGTCATTTAATGTTAAAATAAGTTAAAATAAAATTTTATAATATTTCATTTCTATTTTGTAGTGTTCTACAAAGGAGACTTCCCAGTCTACCACTAGCTGAACGTGAACGTGGTTTGAGAACCTTGATCTTAAAATGCTGATTATTCCATGTCATAGCTAGTTAGCTGTGTTCTAAAACTAGCTTTCTTCTAAAAGCCTTTCCCTAAAATCAAAGTACTAATCCCTCTCGCCTAAATCTACTTTTCTCTGATCAAGGCTCTCCAGAAGGCCACCCCTTTGTCAATACCACCCACCCTCGGGCTCTGGTTCCCATTGTCTCTCTTTTGTATTAAGGGTTGTAACTCTAGGTGGTTTGTCTGTGCAGCTGGAAGAGAACACAGCCCTGGGCTGAAGATGAAGGGCTGGGAGAGCGAGCTCGGGGGCAGGTGATGTGGAGCTGGTCCCTGAAGTCTGAATAGGATTTGGGGAACAAGATTCTCTATATACAGGGCATGCTATTTGAACCACAGGGGTAACCAAACTATATCAGTTACATGTGTGGTCGTGAATTCTGGTCCCCAAACCTTTTTACGGCACCCTCTGGGACTCACAGTCAGTCATCAAAGTCCTCGGTCTTTTCAACCTCCTCTCTGGCCTTTCCTTCTTCTTCCTCTGAGTGAAATATGGCTCTCCCCTGAAGATACTACTTCTCTTGAGGCCACTCAAGTGGTGGCTGGATTTTTGCTCTCATGTGCCAAGGCTGGGTGGGCTCCTTGTTTCAGTCTAAAGTCTTCAGCTCCTCTGAAGTCATGCCATCAAACTAACCTTCCTGCTACCCATCCTTCTTACAGCCATCAACAGTTCTCAGTCACTTTGCCTCATTCCTTGAAGCGATTCTAGCACCGCGATCTCTGTTACTTAGCCTCATCATTTTCAGTGACTTTTGTCCTTTGCTTCCTTGGTCATATTAGGAGCCTTGTCCTTCCTATAACTGTACCTGTTTAACAAATATTCCTCTATTGCTACCTCCTATCATTTTTACTTCACTCCCTCTAGTATCCTGATTCTATCAATTCTTCAAATCCATTTTTCTGACTGCTTTCCCCTGCCCATTATTTTCCTCCTTATTTCCCTTACATTCAGTGGTCCATCATTACAGTCACTCCCTCAGTGTATACCTTCAACAAACTTGCCTTTCTCTCTCCTTCCAGTGTACTCATTTAGCCAAACAACCCAATCACTAGTTAAATCTAACTTTCTGCCCTTTCTTACCCGCACCAAGCAGATGAATGTGGCTGGGAAGAAACAACCATATAGATTAGTCACACTTTAAATCAATAATATAAGCCTCAAGAGTATCCCTGAGCAACCCTACAACAACTCCCTAGTCAGTTCACTCTCTTAGATGAGTACACTTTTCCTTCTCACTCAGCCAATGACCTCGCTTCTTATTTTACTCAGAAAATAGAAGCAATAAGAAGAAACCATCTACATGGTTCCATCACAAAATTTATGAACCCATTGCGCTTGTTGCTATGTACTCTTCTGTCCTTCCTCTGATGGATGAATTGTCCATCTTCCCATCAAAGGCCAATTCTGCAATGGACTCTGTTCCCTCTTGCTTCCCTCAAGGAGTTTGCTGCTTCAATTTTTTCCCTCTCTACATGTGATAACTTCTTTAAGCCTGTATCCCATTCTAGCTACCACCCCATTTCTCTGCTCCCCTACAGAACAAAATTTCTTGAAACAGTTCTCCATACTCATTATGTTCACATCCTCTATTCACAGTCTCTCTTGAACCCACTCCGATCAGACATTCATTCGTACCACTTCACCTACACCTCTTTCACGAAGGTTGCTGATAATCTCCACATTACTGAATCAAATGGTGATCCAGTCCTTTCTTACTTGGCTCAGCATTTGGCAGTTGGTGACTTCCTCTTCCTTGAGACAGCATCTTCAGTTGGCTTCCAGGACACTCCTTTCAGTTTTCCTCCTACCTCACTGGTACTTTTCTCCAATCTCTTGTCAAATCCATTTCTCTTCCCAACCTGTAAACACTGGGGTCCCAGGGCACGGTTCCTGACCTCTTCTTTTCTCTAGGATATTTCCAGACTCACACTGAGCTGTCTACTTGCCATTTCTGGATGTTTAATTGGCTCCACAAGTCCAAAACCGAACTCTCAATTTCCTCATCTACATAAAATGGCAATCCCATTTTTCTAATAAACTTTGGAGTGATCCTTGGTGCCTCTTTCCTCTTACTTCTCACATCAAATTTGTCATCAAATCCTGTTGGTTTTACCTTGGAAATATATCCATTGCTAATACCCTTATCTAAGCTACCATCACCCCTTGCCAGAATGTTGCAATAACTTCCTAACTATTCTCTCTGTCTCCTCACGTGCCCCCTCCTAGTCTCTCCTCACCAGCACAATCAGGATGTTCACTTTAAAATGTTAGTCAATGATGAAAATGTTCTGGAATTGGATAGTGGTGATAGTTCCACAACTTTGTGAATATACTAATGTACACCTGGAAAGGGTGAATATTATGCTATGTGAATTATGTTTCCAGAAAAAATATGTAAATCAAATTCCTTTGGCTAGAATTTCCCCCTTCTTTTTATCTAACCTAAGAAATCTTAAAATAAGACCAGTTTATCCCTGCCTCTTGATCCTTGCTTCAACTGTACTCTTGCCTGGAATTAGCTTCTTCAAATCTTTTCTACCTCAAAGTCTGGTCTTCTTCTTTCAAAAAAGTCATTCTAAACACCGCCCTCTCCTTTGTTCCCTTCGTCAGCTAATCTACCAAGCATCTAGCCAATGCTTAAGTCAGACACCTCCTCACAGTCTTCTTGGTTCCTTTTCCCTTCACCTTCAATCAGCAAGCGAGCCTCACAGAGTCTCCATCCTGCCTCTCCCTCCCTCTCTGCATGCCACTGTGTCAGGCAAAATTGCCAGTGTCTCCTCCTGTCTAAATTCCTTTAATCTCCTTGGCAAACTGCAATGTCAAACACACAGTAAAAACAAAAAATTCATAATGTCATTTCCTGTGCAAAACCTTTCAATGGCTCCCTATTGTACTGAGATTAAGACAGAATAACCTAATCGACTCCACCAGGGCCTATGACCCCACGCTCTTCTTTCTGCCCCTGTGTTCCATATTCAAGGTGTAAAGAACTATTTTCCAAACACACCACATTTCTCTTGACACCAGGCCTTCGAACATACTGTTCTTCTAAGAATACAATTTTTCTGGCTAGCCTGTGGCAGTCAAGACTCAGCCGAAGGGTCACTTCTTCAGGACAGCCTTTCTCACTGGGCTGGCCCTCCCTGTATGGGTTCCTGTGGCACTCAGTATCATCTCTTCCATCACTGCACATTCAATTCCCTGTCCATCATCTGGCTTTTCCACTGGACAGTCAGCTCCACGAGAGCAGGCCCCTGTCTGTCTTCTTCATCTCTGTATCTGTAGTGTCCATCCCACAGTAAGTGCTAAGTTAGACTGAACTCTAGCCCCTCCATATGCACCCCTGCCTTAAAGCCTATGGCACTTACAGGCTGTACCATTTTATTATCACGATGTGCTGTTTTTTTTCCTTCTGCGTTGTAAGACTTTGCAGGCAGAGGAAGTCTGCAAAGGAAATGCTCAATATACCTATGGATGGGTGGTGGTCTATACCTGGTAAGTCTCGATGGGGCGGTTTTCCATGTTGAGATCCCACACTTTAACTGTCAGATAGTCTCTGGTCATGATATACCTCCCGCTGTGGCTGAATTTCACATCCGAAATCGAAGAGATAATTTCAGAGAAAAATGACCTGTTGCTGGGATCTTCCGGCTCTTCAAAAACTGCAGAACAGAGGCAAAACAAGAAGAATTTAGAACATCTTTATCAACTGACTCTAACATGTTTGGGCTGGCAAGAAAGCCAACAGCTGAACTGGGACTAGGGCTGGAATCTGCAGAATGTAAGTTGCTGATAGAGAACTGTCAGCTTCCTGGCAGCAGGAAAAGCTGACCCTGGTTTCTTTATTTTCTTTCTCTTGGTAGGACTGGCATGGGAAATGTCCCATCCATAGATCTGGCACTGACCATTTTTCCAAGCTCCAGGTCTACTATGTATTTATAGTACTTATATATATGGATATATAACTCCATTTCACATTGCCCCTGGTCTCTGGGTGTTATGGCACATACCAAAACCCGAGTCATCTTACATGCTTAAAAATTTTCCTTACAGCTTTTTTCAGATATAATTCACAGACTATAACATTTGCTAACTTATGGTTTAGTGTAATCATGTCATTGTGCGACCATCACCACAATCTAAATTTAGAACATTTCATCAACTCCCCTAAAAAACTCCATACCCATTAGCAGTTACTCCCCATTCTCTACTCCTGCAGCCCTAGGCAACCACTAATCTATTTTCTGGTTCTATGGAATTACCTATTCTGGAAATTTCCCATAAGTGGAATCATACAACTTGCATTTTTTTGTGACTAGTTTCTTTCCCTTAGTGTAATGGTTTCAAGTTCATCCATGTTGTAGCATCTATCCGTACTTCATTCCTTTTTATGGTTGAATAATATTCCCCATTGCATGGATATACCATGTTTATTATTCTGTTCATCAGTTGATGGACATTTGGGTTGTTCCTACATTTTGACTATTGTGAATAATGCTGTTATGAATATTCATGTACAAGTTTTGTGTGGATGTATGTTTTCATATCTCTTGGATCACGGTGTTTAATAGTGGGCTTTGTTGCCTTGGGTCTAAGGTCACACTGCCAATTACTAATTGTGTCATCTTGGGCAAGTTACTTACCTTTCCTGTGCCTCAGTCTCATCAGTAAACTGTGGCTACAATGTTGTTTGTGGATTTTGTGCATTTCCTCTAATGTCCAGGCCCTTATTAGTTCTCTCAGTAGCTTCAGCTGATTTCCACTCACAGGAATAAAGTCGTGGCTCCTCAGTTTGATATGGAAGCCCATTGTAAGCTGCCTTGTCTTTCTACCTTGCTTTTGCACTTCTCTGGTTCACGTTGAATGTATAGAGTATATCTTGACATTGCACATTTCTGTGCTCTGCCTGATCATTTCTCCTTCATTGTTTCAAATTCTGCTTGATTCATAGCTCTCATGTTTTATGTGTTATTTTAGCCCCAAATGATTTTTTTTTTCTTTGAAGCACCATCATAGTTGGTCTGGCCCATTTATTTAGTATTTGCTTAGGTACTTTAACAGTGAAACAATCATTTTTCACATTATTATTTAACATTCCATGGGTTTGTCTTATCTCAATTAGGATGTGGGTTCCTGAGGGCAGGACTATGGTTCTTCTTATGTTTGTACTGAGAGTCTTGCACACAACCATTCAATAAATATTTGATGATTGATTGGAACCAAAGCCAGATAAATTAATGATTCTTTGCTCTCTAGGGGCTTAGCACATGTGATGTCAAGCTATATATACTTACTGATAATTATTTTTGACCTACAAGAATGGCAATTAAGTATAGTTCCACTTAATAAGTGTTTGTATCACCATTTTGGCTGAACCAAACAGCCTACAGGTTACTGAGTGAACTCATCCCCCAAGGCTTCCTCTTCCTGCCTGCTCAATGCACTCACATAGTCAGTCTCAAATTCTACGTAGGAAACCTAAGATTATAATGAGTTGTCTTTCAAACCTTGCTGAATTAAACCATGAGCCAAAGCAAAATACTAATATTAAAGAGAACAAAAAAACCCAATCAATCAGAATTGAACTTGAGAATTAAAAAATCCATTGAAATGGAAAAACATGAGCTTATTACAGTCTCTGACCCAAAGTCTCAATCCATGTGCTTATCTCTTGGACTTCAATCAAGCAATTAATGAAGACCCCTGGACTCTGATTGGTATCCTCATTGCTGAGAAGCAGATTTTCATATTAGTTTCTATTTCAGGTAATCTCATTAGGACCAGGGGCTTAGGAACTCCAGACACACCCCATGCAAACACCTCAACAGAGAGAGGAGTGGAACTCTGAGACTTGGTCACCTCCACCTGATGCACCTGTAAAGACAGCTTGAGGCCGTAGCGGGAAGGGCTCAGCAATCTCTGCTCTGGATCAGTTAATTCCTGCCTCTGTCATTTACCAGCTATTCACATTCTATTTACTACTCTGAGATTCAGTTTTCCAAGCTGCAGAACGGGGATGCATATTGCTTGGTACATGGTAGGTCCTCAATAAATGTCAGTCGCTATTTTTATCATCATTAGCGTGCACTGCTTCTGTATTGGCCAATCATATTTCACTCATGAAGACTCTTGAGAATTTGGGACTGAGGACCACAGAACCTGTGGGATATTGAAATGTCATAAAGGACATTTACAAGGTTATACCTGGGAATCTGTTCTGTAAATACTTGGCATACAGGGGGCCCAGCATGGCAACATTGCAAGGCCTCAAAATGAAAGCCCTAGACGATGGAGGTGAAATGAAAGAAAACAATTCTTTAACCAACCCACCACTAATTATTTACATAGGATACACAGGATATGTATACAGGATAAGTATAACATACCAACCAGCACAGCACTTTGTAGTTCATTCTATGCATATCCAAGTCTTAATATCAACTCCATGAATTCTTTTCATTCATTCAGCAGCAACGTGTAATAGTGTGAACAATTACTGTTTGTTTATGGGAAGCTTATTGTGTTCCAGGCCCTGTGATTTACGGGTTTTATCTCATGATCCTTACAATGATCCTTGAAGTAGGAATGATGATTCCTTAGTTTATAGATGTGGAAAACTAAGGCACAGAGAGGTTTTGTAACCTGTCCAAGGACAACACAGCTACGCAGAGTGGGAGCTGTGCTATGAATCAGGACTGTCTGACTTCAAAGTCTTTGTTCTTAACCATAATGCAATTCTGTCTTGTACTATGTATAAGACCTTATTTTAGGAGCTGTAAGAAGATATCAGGGTAGAATCGATTTAGAATCATGGAATTATAAAACTGGAAGGCTCTTTTGGGGCTAGCCCTGTGGCCAAGTGGTTAAGTTCATGCGCTCTGCTTCACTGGTCCAGGGTTTCACTGGTTTGGATCCTGGACGCAGACCTAGGACCACTCATCAGGCCAAGTTTAGGCAGCGTCCCACAGAACACAACCAGAAAGACCTACAACTATGTACTGGGGGGCTTTGGGGAGAAGAGGAAGAAAAGAAAAAAAAGAGTGGAAACTGGAAGACTCTTTTTTTTCTGGTTATCACACTCATTTTTTTTTTATTATGCATTAATTAGATGAAAGTTAGTGGAAGGGTTCTGCATGATGATTAGTTCTACTCTATCCTTTTATACAGCCAAAGTCCTTAAGAGAGTGAATCCATTTCAAACACTTAGGAGCATGGCTTCTACACCTAGGATTCATGAGTTCAAGCCTTACGCCATCAGTGGCAAGTATAGACTGGGGACCCTAGGACTTTGTATGACCTGTCAAAACCCTCACCACAAAAAGCCCAGACTCTCAGGCCATTGCTCACCCCTGGATCCTAATCCCTGTGGCCTGTCAGCGATGAGGCACCTTTTCCTCCCACTGTCCCTCTCCCCCAGTTAATGTGCATTGCAATTTAATATATTTTATTTGTCTCCCCTAATAGAATGCAAGCTCTATGAGGGCAGGGGGTTTTGTTTTGCTGTATTCCCTGGAAAATAGGAGGTGCTCAGTAAATATATGTTAAATGAGTGAATATTGACAAACCATTTTAATTTTTAAATGAAAATAATACCTATCAATTAAACAGGTCCTGAAAGGAACCTATCTAAGCAATGCTTTATTCACTTCAGATTTGTTTCTTTAAGTCTTTGAAAAGTAGGAGAAACTATACTCCATGGGAAGTCATCTGTAATACGAGGTTTTCACTAAGTCAGGCCGAGCAATCCTTTATCAGCTATTTAAGTGTCTTTTATACGCAGGCACACACATGCACAACACTTAGTACATGACCTAGAACACACAAATAAAAAGCATTTGTTGGATGGACACATGCCAGGCCCTGTACTACAAGCCAAGGACACAAGGAGTAAGACAGATCCAGTCTTACCCTCATGGGACTCACAGGCTAGAGGAAGAGATAAATGTTAAACAATTATACAAGGTTAGTTATGGATGTGAATAAGTGAGGTTTTACTGCATTATCAGAGGGGAATAAAGGTGCTGGGGAAGCAGTGAGTGGAATGCAAATGGACCCTTCCTGTGTGTTCCATGTACTCTACTGAACGTGTGGTACAAAGGTGTCTAGTGCTTGAGTGATAGATCTTGGGACAAATCAAAACTGGAACTTCTCCTGGAGGCCGTTGGCTTGGCATTAGAAATCCTGCTGACCTGCAGGATTTCCAACTGGCTTTTAGAAAATAAAGACGTCAAGAGAAGAAAGGAAGAGAGCCATGGTGGAGATAAGACAAGCTTTGCTCCCTTTGTGAGGAAGCAGTCTTGATGAGAATCCTAATAGCCCAGACCTAGTCACTGGGGATGTGTCAGATTTGCCAACAGGGAGCTTGTGTCTCGGAGAACCCAATAATAACAGTAACACCAACAATAATGGCATTTGCTACCATTTCTTAGGCCTCATGCTTTGCATACATTATCCCATTTAACGCTCAGACTTATGAGGAAGGTACTCTCACTGTCCACATTTACAGATGAGACAGATCAGGAGAGGTTGAATAACTTGCCCACGATCACGCAGCTTGTGAGGAGGAGAGATGGGCTTTCAACTCACCATCTGTCTGCCTGTTACACTATCTCCCCCACCAGGGCTTTCCTTGCTTTATCAATATCATTTCTCGTTGAAACAA